TGACATCTTAATAATTTCAAGTCTCCCAGTCCATCAACAGACATACTTCTTCATTTACTTAGCAGTTCATTAGTTGTTTCTTTCTTTTTTTCTTTTTTTATTTTTGCTCTCAGAAATGCCTTGCAATGTTCACTACAGAAGCCCTGACACCTTTGTTAAGTGTATTTCTACTAACCATCTTTCTATACTATTGAAACACAATTTGTATTTTACTTCCTGTTCCAGTTTTGCTGGAAATATGTAGAAACCCAACAGATGTAAATTACCTTTGTATGAAGTACTTGTTACCACAATTTCTTAGTATTTTCTACCTAGTATTTTAACCGTCAAGTTATCTATAAATTGGTAGTTTTACTTCTTATTTTTCAATATTATCCTATTCATTTCTTCCTGCCATATGAGTCAGAACCTCCTGTGCATTGTTGAATAGATATAATAAGAGCTCATATTCTTGACTTCTTTCCAAATTTAGGGAGAAGCATTCAACAAGTACAAGGTTACCTAAAAGTGTTTCTCAGCATGTGTTTTATCAGACTGAAGGAAATTTACTTTACTTATACTTTAGTGGAGAGTTTGTATCATGAAAGGGTGTTAAATGTTGCCAGTTTATTTTTCTACATCTATTGAAATGATCATAAAATATTAAATCAACCTTACAGTTACTGGAAAATACCATCTGATCATATTCTTCTGTTCTTTATATTGATGGAAATTTTATGAAATATATCTTTTGCAAAACTTTTACCTCAGTCTGTTGCTTTCTTTCATTCTCTTATAGTAGTTTTGCTGGGCAGAAGTTTTAAATTTCCATGAAGATCAGCTTATCAAGTATTTCTTTTAAAGATTGGGTCTTTGGCATTTTATCTAAATAGTCATCACTAAATTTAAGGTCATGTAAATTCTCTTCTGTTTTCTTCTGTGAGTTTTACAGTTCTATTATATACTTTTGTGCTTAGGGGTATGATCAATTTGATTTTTTTTTTTTTTTGGTGAATGGTATAAGGTATGTATCTGTTTTGTTGTTGTTATTGTTTTTGTATGTGAATCCACCTTTGCTTCAGTACCATTTACCATTTGATGAAAAGACTATTCTTTCACTATTAAATTGGTTTTGGTCTTCTACCAAAGATCAGCTGACTACAGCTAAATAATTATATCCATTCTGTTCTATTGTTCTGATTTTCTGTTCTTTCACCAATACCACATTACCTCAATTAATATAGTTTTATATTAAATCTTGTAGTAGCTAAGCTCTTAGACTGTTTTGCTTCAGTGTTGTGTTGAATATACTGCATATTTTGCCTCTTCATATAGATATTAGAAATAATCTATCAGTAACCACAAATGATTTTACTTAAGTTATAGATCTAGTTAGGAATAACTACACTTCTGACACTTTTGAATCTTGCTATTCATGCACAGACCATCTCTATATTTATTTTTTGTTTCACAGAATTGAAAAAAACATATTTTGTTAGATTTTAATCTAAGTACTACTTCACATTATTTGGTGTTGGTATTGTTAATTTTAAATTCCAATTTTTCATTGCTGGAATACAGGGAAGCAATTGACTTGAAAATCAAACTCATACCCTGAAAACTCACTATATTAGATTATTAATTAAAGAAATTTTGTCAAGTATTTATATTTTTGCATAGATAGTCATGTTATCTGTGAACGCAGTTTTAGTTATCTGTTCCTAATCTGAGACTTTTATCATTAATGTATATAGAATTTTGTCAAATATGTATTTACACTTAATATACTTTGTCTATACACATCAGATAATTTGATTATCCAAAGTTTTACAAAATTTTTACCTTTTAGCTCAATATTTACACTTATTATAAATACAAACATTGTCAAGTTCTGGTTTACCAATATGCTCTATGATTTCCACAATAATCCCAGTTTTTATTTTCTGTTCTTTTTCTTTTCTTTGGAATTAATGGAATATTTGTTCAAAATTCTCCTGTAATAACTTTATTAGCTTTTTTTTAAAGTTCTTTGCCTTGTTATTACAATGATATCTCTAGAGAATACATATGTAATACATAATTTTTATTTAATAATGTCTACTTTGATCTGACTTGATGTTACCTTATGAAAAATGTAAGGATTCTGCAATAGCATAGTTTAAATCTGTTTACTCTTAAACATAATAGAATGCTCTTTTTGCTTGAGTTATTTAATTTTAAAGAAAATAAATACAAGGCCAGAATGCCATCACTAGTTTTATCCCTGTGTTTATTATTTCCTATACTCTTCCTTCACCCTGTACATCTGAATTTTCATCTGATATTATATCTCTTCTACCTGAAATATTTATCACCTGTGTTAGTGGACTTTCTATCACTGTTACAAAATAGTTGAGATAGAAACCATTTACAGGAGGAAAGGGTTTTCTGGCTTATAGTTTCAGAAGTTTCTGTGCATGATTGGCTGGCTCCATCGATTCTGGGCCTGAAGTAAGGATGAATATCATGGTAGAGGGAAATAGTGGAGGAAAGCTTCTCACCTCATGGCATCCAGAAAGGATAGGAGAAGAGAGAGAGGAAGAGAGAAAGGGAGAAAAGAAGAGGCTAGAGCAAGATGCAGTCCCCAAGTCCATATCCCTGTGATCCACTCCCTCCAATGAGGTTCTCACCTCCTGAGCTTCCATCATCTCTCAATACTGCCGTCAATTATGAATTCATCAGGGGATTGATCCATGATGAAGTTAGAGAGCTCATGATCCAATCAGCTTCCAAAAGCCCTTCATAACATCATTTTTTGTATCACAAACTTGTTGGCAACAAATTATTTTTAGATTTAATGTATCCAAGAATGTCTTTATTTCACCCACATATTTTTAGCATCTTTAACATATATTAGTTCTATGGGGAAAGGAAATACATCAATCATGCAAAAACTATAAAAATTTAACATCCATAAAGCTGTTTTTACAAACTGTAAAGAATTTTTAAAATCCAGTTATTTTAGTCTGTCACCACAAGCCATTATTCTTGATAGTGTATAACATCAGTGGTTACTTTAAAGATTTCTTAAAATTAGGAATGTACAAAGTGGATGAATGACTAAACAACTTTTAAGACATATTTTGACTTTCCTTTTTTTTAGATTTCCATTTCATTTTTTCTTTATGTTCTCAAATGTATTTATAACAACTTCTTTGAAGTACTTTTCAGTTCATTACAACATTTTGGATTGTTTTGATAATTATTTTTTCTCTTGACTATGGATCACATTTTTCTCATTCTTAGCATGCCTCATAATTTTTATTTTGTGTTGAACATCATGCATTCTATGTTATAGGGAGTGTGGATTATATCTTTTCCCTAAAATGTTTATTGGGTTTTGTGTGTAGCAGGAGCTCAAGTATTGGTGAACAATTTGGATCTTGTCATGTTTGATTTTATTCTTTGTTAGAGTAAGTCTATTTTAGTCTTCAATTCCCTCAAGTTCTCATTGCTTTAGAGTGTGGACCTTCTAAGGTTTGACCTTCTTGAAATCTCAGGCTGAGATCACATTAGTGATTTCTGTTTACTCTGCTTGGGGCAAAAGTCCAGGTGCTTTGGACAATTCACAAGTTCTGGCATTATCATTTAACTCCACACTGTGGCATACAACCTTGTGTGTTCACTGACAACATGCGATGCATTCCCACCCAGATCCTGGCTCTCCTCTCTGAAGAGCTCTCTCTCCTCGACACTTTGCCTGCTCTAGACTCTAGTAATTTGATTATTGTTTCATTACCTCTTCTATGCTTGGGGTCTATTTCCTGCTTATCAGCAAGAAGAGATATCTAAGCAGAAATTGGGGTGATCTTGTGTGATCTTGGAGCTTACCTGAGGTATTATTCTTTTCTCTAGCATTGTATTCATGCACTGCTTGTTTCTCAATGTATGAAAATTCTACCTTACATATGTTATCCATTTTATATTTGTTTTCAGAAACTATTCATATGAGTACCTCGCTAGAAGCATACATTTTTGTGTATATTCTTGATATTTTCATTCATTGAGCATGTATCTTCTCATGCTAAGTGCTGCTGGGGTCTGAGGACATGGATTTCAGCAAAAATGACAACACTCACTGCACAAGAAAATAAATGGACAAAGTTAGGAAAGAGATAGTAAAACGTGAAAAAAAGAAGAGTAGTACAAAGGCAGCTGGGGCACTGTGGGCTACTATATTAGGATAATCAAAGTAGATATTTAAAGAGTTTAGATTTAATCTTGTAGAAGAAAGACAAGAAGGAAGCAAATATTTCAGAGAATTTTGCAGTCAGGACTAGCAGCAGCTGTACAGATCCTCAAGCAAGAAATGGTCTGAGAGCTATGGGAAAATAATTAAGTTTAAATAATTAGTTTATTTCCATTTCTTATTTTAAAATTAACTAAAATAATTTCTTGTCAGTAATTTTTAAAAAAGAATTTCACTTTTTGAGTGTGTATTTCTGTCTCGCCAGTGGGTCTGAGCCATTTTGATAAGCTACTATTGCAGTTTTGGGGTGGTTTTCTTGTTCCTTTCTAATTTCTTGCCATCAATAATATTAATGGTTGGATTGTAAAGACCACTAATAGTAAGTGACCCACAGAAATGTGTGCATGTGTGTGTTTCATATCATGACCATGTTCCTTTTATCTATTTTATTTTGTGAACACATAGAGAAGAGAGGAATATTGGCTGATCTTGCCATAAAGAAAAACCCAGTTGTAGTTACCCAAATTATTCCTGTTAGAATAACTTCAACCAGAAAATGAGGGTTATGAATGTTCATAATATATCTTGATCTAAAATTATAGATCCTTAGGACCAAGTCCTACGTTCTTTTATTTCCTCCACTGTACTTTTTATGTTAAAGACATTTCTTTGAATCTGAGAGGGCTTAGAGTATCTGAGAGTTTATTTCCTAATGAAATATCCATGTCTCTAAGAGATAGCACCTGTTAAATGATTTTTAACCATCTAGCAAGGATTATTTCCTTTATTACAGTGCACTGAAGACCAACAGGAAAGATACATGTGCCTCAAGAGAAATACAAGCCTCTGAAAGCTGAGTTGGAGGAAATAAAGACAAATACTTAAACAGAGACATTAATATTAAATCTATTGTGAGATTGTTATGAGATTTAGGAAAAATGTGCATACAGTATGAGATACTTAATAAATGACTATCATGTATTATTCCTCATGTTGCCTTTGAAAGAGTAAAGTATTGTCACAACCAAAGTAGTCATTAAGTACAACATGATACTAGTAAAGAGAATAAGAGAAATGGCCTACAGTCTTTGAAGGTTACCATTTTTTTTTAATATTATCAAAGTAACTTTGGAGAATGGTAAATTTTCAGATTAAAGAATTTCAACCTTTTAAATTCAACTTACAAGATTTTCAATGTGCTCTAATTGTCATAAGTTTAATAATAATTCACAGGATCTTACTATGTAGTTCAGGCTGATCTTTCATCACTATGTGAGCCAGGCTGGCCTCAAAGTCCTGGCTCAGCCTTTGAATTGCTGGGATTACAGGTGTGCACCAACACACCTGGCTTGATTTTTCAAATCACTTGTATCTTATTTCAAATAGCCACACAGATCTACGTGTGTTTTATTTTCCAGATTGAATAGTTATTGTAGTTGTTAGTAGCAATGACTGATCAACATGTTACACACATTTGAATAAATAGTAAACAATAAAATGGTTGTTTTTTCTAAATGAGAAAAATGTTTTTTTTTATGGAAGTAGTATAATTTGCTCATGTACCAAAAATAAAAATTACTGCTAGAATGAGGCAGAGTTCAACTGTGATTGTATTCTTTTTTACTTTTCAGGGCGGAGCAATAAACCCAGGGCCTGGAACATGCTAGTCTAACATTATACAACTAAGCTACTTCCTTGCCTCAATTTTATTGTTATTTTAAATTTTTTTAGTAGAAAAACTTTGTGCAATTTGGAGTAAAACAATTTTTATTATGACAGTGTTACACAATTCTTTGAACTACTTAGCTATATGCTAAAATTGCATACCAATCTGTATCAAAAATTATTTTTATGGACTTATGTGTTAAAAACATAGATCCTTTTTTCAATTTAGTAAAAATAAAGTATATCATATCTTCTGCAAACAAAACTCTTTATTACTCACTCACAGTCCCCCATTTCCTCAGGACCTACAGTATTGTTTTGCACTGTTTCTTTCATGGGAGTCGTGAAGCTGCTGGAACGCCTTTTCCCTGTGGAAAGGCAGAAGCACAGTAGGGGCCTGACTACCAGGCAGCTGGCCAGCTGTACAGAGCACCATTTCCAGGCTTGCCAACTTCAAACTCTCCTGATCTACATCCAGGTACCTACTTGCTTACCACTTGTGATCAGCAGGAAAACATTCTCTTGCCACCAACCACAGATGACCCTGGCCTAATTCCTGGTCATGTGAACATGTGGTCTTACCTGGAAAAAGTAGAATTAAAAATGAGCAGGAGGAATTAAGTTTGTTAATCAGCTGACCATAAAAGAGGGAGATGTCTTGGAGTTTTTGGCAGTAGGGAGAGAAGTCATAATGAGAGTCCTTGAAAATGGGAGAGGGAGGTAGGAGAACCAGAATCTGAGTGGTTAACCTGCCATTGTGGACTTTGAAAAAGAAGAGCCAAGAGCCGAGGAAAGTGACACAGCCCTGCTTACCCCTTGATATCAGCCAAGTGAGAACCATGACAGATTCCTACCCCAAAACAAGAGAAATGCATGTTGTTTTAAGCAACTAAGTTTATAGAAATTTTTACAGCAACAATAAGTAAATTAATACAATGCTGATACTTATCTTGTAGGTGCTCAAAGTTATCCAGAGAAGCAGAACATATACAACTGATATATACACAAAAAGAAATTTATTATGAGATATTGGTTCCAGTAGTTCTGGAGAATGAGAAATCCCACAGTTTGAAGTCTTCAAGCTGGAGCTCCGGAAAAATCAGTGGTGTAATAGAAAACCTGGGAGGCAGAGAGCCCACGGTGTAGACTCCAGCCCAGGTCTGAAGACCTGAGAACCAGGAGGGCCCAAACCAGAGCAAGATTAACATCCCAGCTCAGACAGGCAGGCAGAGAGTGAATTCATCCTTTCTCTACCTTCTTGTTCTGTTCAGGCCTTTCTGAACTAGAGGAGGCCCCCACACATAGCAAGGACATCTGCTTTACTCTGTCTATTGATTCAAATGCTCATCTTTTCCAGAAACACCCTCCTAGGCACACTCAGACAGCATTCTAAAC